TTGTTAAGCGGTTACTGGCCCATAAGGATCGTTTTTCATTTTAAAGATGGCTATTCTAATTTTCAAATTCAAATGCAAAACTACTTTGGGGTAGATGTTAAATGAACGGTGGTACAGACTCAGACAGATTATTTCTTTACACTAGTGCCAAGAATGGTTTTAATTGATACCAATAGGCTGAATGAAGATTAATATAATACTAACAGTGTTACTTAAACTATGCCTTTAGGTTATTTTAACATAAAATTAAAACACTCATAGCTTATTCCTGAACATGTATCTGAACATATTATTATCGGCTTGCTATATTTCGTTAGATTTTATTTCAACAACCAATTGTCAATTGTGGATATAGAATATTTATCTATTTTCATTTTTTCATAATTTGGTATGTATGCGGAGCACAGTACCACATTTTAATGGAATCTCTACAAATAGTTAGCAATCATACTTGTGTTGGTATCTATTTCAAACTAAGCTAAAATATAAATCGCGCTTGCAATCAACACATCCACAAATTTCGATTGTACCTTACACGTTCTCAACATCAACGTTCGGATTGTTTGAGCTCAGTTGATTAGGGCGTAGTCTGCTACGATAGTGTTTCGTTTTATTTATTTATTTATTGTATGTGCGGGTGAACGAGGTCACAACCGAAGCTTTTTGGAAAGCTGGATTTTGTACGCTTTAGATTACGAGCCCACAGAATTTCCAATTACTAAAACGTGACTTGGATTGATGAGTATTGTTATCAGTTTAAGTTACTGTGATTTATTAAGATATTTTTTGATTTTATTGATTTGACGCAAATGAGTCAATATTGTTCATAAGGTAACGGTAAGCCATGCCGCTAATTCGTGGGTAGTTTGACTCAGATCGGCTTCCACCATCTCTTTCAATTCATTGTTATTCAGATGTGTGGGCGGTCTTCCACGTGGTTCGTTCTTCAAATCAAAATTTCCATCACGAAAGCGCTTAAACCAAAATCGCACGGTGCGTTCATTAGCAGTCCCCTCTCCAAATGCAACATTGATATTGCGAGTTTGTCTAAGCTGAATAAAAAAAAGCAACTGAAAGTCGATAATCGAAAGTTGCCCGTTTCATCAAAGAAGAACCTCATAGGTAGGTACCATTTGAAAAAAGTTTCACTCAAAAATCTCAAACTATGAAGGTTCTATGTCAATTCGAAACACCTATTACAATAATACGGCAATTCCCTTCCTTATCCCCTAATAATAATATTTTGTTTACAACTTGTGTAATTAGAATAAAAACTAAAATGATTAGGTAAAATAACAAATAATCGGCTGTCTAAAAACGCTGTTGATGATAAGATTATTACGTTCCGTACTTGCTGTTTTTTTATCATTACTTAATTTCATGACGCGAAATTATAATGAGTTGAAATAAATAAACAAATTACTCAACAAAATAAAGGATACCGTTCGTTACAAAAGCAAATTAATGCGGACTTTATTGTTTAATAAAAAGACCAAACAGCGATTTTTTTAATTAGCGGCCTTGATTGAGAGAAGGCGAAAGCCTATATTTAAAAGTAATGAAACTGCTATTTTTAATAAAGATAATTTTATTTTATTAGCTTGACGCAAAACCGCCTGTATTACGAGCTGGTATTTTGTAAAAGAGATGAAGTTATACGCACAGCTGATCATAATTTTAAAATATTATTCTGAGTCGTTTGCACTCTTGTCATCAGTTCGGGTGGTGGTGCTTCATAAGACGTTCTTCTTCGCGTACTGCGGCCTTTTTGTGCACTCGTTGATGGGATCGTTTATAGCTGCCTCTATTCGGTCGGTCTATCGTAACGGTAATCTGCCGCGCGGTCTTGTATCCTCAATCACGCCCTATCAAACGTATTATGGTCTAAATATTATAGAATAAAAATACTTTGGTTTTAAATCAGGGTTGTTACGGTAATAGTATTAATACCGGTCTTAAAACGTGTTCTTATTACTAGCTTAGCTTAGAGTTGTTGACCTAGGCTAAAATACGCTTCGCCGGGACGTCTCCCTTTTTTTTTTTTTTTTTAACGCTGGGGAATCCATTTACGGATACCCGGTCCGGGGGGGTAACGAACCGGGTTATGTCGGACTCCGGCGCCTCCTGAGAGGAAGAGGGGGACGAGAAGGTCCTCCACCTCCCCGAATTCCTCGCAAGAGACTACGCCTTGAAAAAGGCGCGCGAAGCACTTGCCCCGCAGAACGACTACCGACTAAACCCCATCGAGCTCCACCACACCGGCTACACCAGACATACGGTACCGCAGTGCGCGCCGAAAGTCCGCCTTCGCCGGTACCCGTCCTGATGATAAGACGGGATTTCATCTCCGGGAAAATCCCGAAGGACGTCATTTCGGGAGATACACCGTGGGCGGCGCACAGGAGCCACCTTGCACCGCCCCACCACCGGACGGGACGTCTCCCTAGAACTTGGAAGCCGAGGCTATCGCTGCGGATTATGCGTTTTTTAATCTAAAATATCCCACTTGTTAAACGCTACATGTTAAAATGTTCAAGTAATTTTCGTGAAAAAAATTTTTTAAGGTCAATGATCGACGATCTTTTATTATTGCAAAATGCTGTAAAAACAATTATAAAATTTAAACTTATTTAGTAATTACTTATAACATAACTAAAAAATTCGAATCATTTGAAATTGAAATATAGCTTCGGAGGTAACTTTATACTTAATATTCTTTCTTACCTTAAATTTACCCATATCTTGTAAATTTCCCTACCCATCTGCCCAGAGTTTACGACATGCAATGAATAAAATAAACACTTCATTGGGGACTGCGACTTCTCCCAGAACAATGTATTAAATTTTCTTTCCACCTATGTAAATCCTGACCGCATTTATTATTGACAAAGTTCACTATTACCTTCCTAGAATATTTTATTGTATCTACGTTTCAAACAGCAAACAATTATTGAAACCTGAAATGGTTTCGTAATAGTAAAAAAATTATTTCAAATGAAAAAAAATATTACAAAATCGACCTCTTCGTGTTAAACACCTAGCTTAGTGAAGGAATTTAAAAAAAATCTAAATCTTATCCTTTATGAATACTACTTAAACTTTTTAAATACTTTACTTTTATCCTCATGACGTATTTTGAATTTTTATAATACCACTACCAATGCCAATATTTTAGCCTGTGACAGTGATAGCCGCGACAGCGAGACACTTTGTATACATAATGTACAAATGGTAAGGGTAATAAATCGTGTTAAATTTTTTTATTGCTTAAATGGGTGGACAAGCTCGGGGCCCACCTGGGGTTAAGTGCTTACTGAAGCCCATAGATATCTACAAACGTAAATGCTTCCACCAACATGAGACACGAGTTCTGAGACGGTATTCGAATCCCACAGGCTGGTACCAATTTTTCTAATGAAATATACTTAACAAATGTTCACGATTGACTTCCACGGTGAAGGATTAACATCGTGTAATAACAATCAAACCCACAAAATTATAATTTGCGTAATTACTGGTGGTAGGACCTCTAGTGAGTCCGCACGGGTAGGTACCACCACCCTGCCGATTTCTGCCGTGAAGCAGTAATGTGTTTCGGTTTGAAGGGTGGGGCAGCCGTTGTAGCCATATATCGTAAGTAGGTAGTTATTGTAGTAAGTTAGGAAATTACCAAGCAAAACATATTAAGCCGTGTACTACATAAGATACAATAGTGTTTATAAATGTTACTTTTGGAAAACTCGCCCAACTCGTTCACACAATAGTGAGGGCGCCGAGCGTCTCTCCCTGCGCAGCACCACGTGTCTGCCTGTCCTACAAAGCGACTGACGACAACGGACGAATAAACGAATCAGCTGGAACAGCGCAGACTTTGAGTCCTGCAAAAGCTGAGACTGAAACTCTCCATTATTGGGGCGCCCAAGGTTGCCGCCTGTTTTGGTGCAGGTTGTATGGGCACCATCAGCGATCTTTATCGAGCATCCATGTATAGCCGGGTCTCCAAGAGACACTCCATGTATAGCCGAGTCTCCACCACCGCAAAAAAAAAATGCGTTCTACTGACAAATTAAAATTAAAAAAAATACAAGACAAATCACATGGTATGCTATAAAATTTTTTAAACATTCATTAAAGGGAACAGCCGTGCGATTCTGTAAGCGTTGTTTAACAAACTCGCACGTGAATTTGGTGTGAGTTTTCAAATTGGCATTCTGTAAATTTCATTGTAGTGCCGAATCTACACTAGCGCCCCTCGCGGGTGAATTGAACTAGCAAGCGTGAGTTTTTTTTACTAAAATGTATGAGTTGACGTTTGAAACGGCATTCTGTAGTGTAAATCACGTCNCAGGCTCGGAGTACTTATATGGACTGATTCTACTATTCCAAAGCTCAAATTATCTTGCCGGCAGCGGGACCTGACAGAGTGCGCTTTTTGAGCTGCAGTCGGGCTAGGGATCTCACCCGAATCCTGGCCTCCAACGTGTTTCGGGCCCCCTTTGTACGCTGGCTTAAAGACCGGTAAAGTAAAGAGCAACTAGGAGACGGCTCTCCTGGCCCACTTTAGTTTTAGCCTAGCCACACTAGCCTTATTTGGTATCTTGGGAGTACGAGTTGGGGATGCTGTCTAGGTGAGCTTCGAACAATTCACTGAAAGAGAGGCTTGGCGATCATGGAACCGCTTCAACGCCAACTGGGGTACGTACTTACGCGTACAAAATATTTCTATGATGAAATAATCTTTTCAGATACGGAATAAAAACAAAACCATCAAAACTTTATAATTTCACATGGTTCCTTGAGTTCTTAAAAAACCATTGTATTCGAAGAAAATGTAAATTAATTGACCGGTTAATTAAGTTAATTTATTCCACCTTTCACTCAATAAATAGAAAATACTTGGCTGAATAGGCTGTTCTCTTTTTACCTCGCATTTTTCGCTCAATCCAAACAAAAAATAACTTGACAGTAGTGTGAGTGACAGTACCATAGATTATACACTTAATATGACAGTACCATTGTCATCTATTTTATTGGTAAATTGGTTGTGATCACGAAATCGGAAGAAAACAGAATAATCTGGAAATTGTAATAAAAATATCATGGCCACGCGTGGAGAAAGAGGAGTTGTTAGGGTATTAGATAAGTTAGAAGCTTCAATTAATTCTGGCCAGTATTATGAAGCACATCAAATGTACAGAACTCTTTATTTCAGGTACCTATAATGTAAATCTGCAATATATATTTTTAATGGTGTCTTATAGTAANATCGGAAGAAAACAGAATAATCTGGAAATTGTAATAAAAATATCATGGCCACGCGTGGAGAAAGAGGAGTTGTTAGGGTATTAGATAAGTTAGAAGCTTCAATTAATTCTGGCCAGTATTATGAAGCACATCAAATGTACAGAACTCTTTATTTCAGGTACCTATAATGTAAATCTGCAATATATATTTTTAATGGTGTCTTATAGTAATTTTTCAAAAGATTTCATATTTTATTCCAGATACCTAACTCAGAAAAAATATCCAGAATTGTTAACTTTATTGTACAAAGGGTCTACACTTCTTTTGGAACGCGATCAACAAGGAAGTGGAGCTGATCTCGCCATACTCTTCGTAGAAGTTTTAACAAAATCGGAAACCAAACCTAATGAAGAATGGGTCTCGAAATTGGCAAAATTATTTGAATTAATCAGCTCCAGTGTCCCAGAGCGAGAAACCTTTCTAACAAATTCAATAAAATGGTCAATGGATAACAACAAAAAAGGTGACCCACTCCTACACAAGGTACAGTACTAATTTGTAGAATAGTTCATTCTTAAATGATATTTTGACACTCTTATTCGAAAGTATCATAGCCCATTTTTCTAATTAATATTTATGACAAATGAAATCAACTCGTAGGTAGTGTGTTTTTGTGTGTTTGTATACACTATGAAGCAATGGAACAGTGTTCATGGCTAAATCATGCAGAGATAAATTTTTCAAGACTTCCAAGATGAATGAATAATATCTTATAATAAAAATCAAACCTGGAACACTTGCATTATTACTATTGGTAGGATGTATGCCAAGATGAATTGGACTATGTGTATGGGAACTCTACACCATAATTAACTAATGAAATTTTGGGCCACTGAGTTTAAATGAATGATAATTGATTTCCATGAAAGCTTGGGACATGATGCACATTGGAGACATCCAAAAAGAGCAACTATTGACAATAACATTGCTAAAATCATCAAATGGTGCTAGACAACCCCCTGAATTAAAGTGAGAGAACATAGATAGTAGAGGCTATGAAAATGTCCATATGTTTTGTCCATATGAATTAGTGATGAGAAAAATAGCTGTCTGCATGTTGAGTGTCACGTATGGTCACAAAAACAAAAAAACGTGTTTGAATGTTTCCAATTCTGTTGGTGCAGTTTAGGTTTAGCAATAAATAAGAGTTTTGGTGCCAATTAATTTACTATAGAGAGAGAGAGAGAGAGAGAGAGAGAGTATTCTTTATTGTACACCAAAAAAACAAATAAACAGTGCGATACACTAAAAACAAAAAAAGTACAATTGGCGGTCTTATCGCTAAGAGCGATCTCTTCCAGACAACCATCAGGTGGACAAGAATTATTTGGAAACGAACTACGTGCGGTGTACCATTCCAGTGAAATACATATAGATATATGTACACATACATATACACATACATATCTCCGTAAATATACATACAATTAATACAAAGTATTATAATATAATAATAATTATTAAAAATAAAAAATAATAAAAATTAAATAAAAATTAAATTTATATATATAGGTGAAATATGGATATACCATTATACATCCGAAAATACATACATCCATGCTCTGAGGAATTGTTCGAGATGATACCGGCATCTCGTTTTTACCATCGCACTGCCCGCCACCGGAGTAGAGTTCATCCATACTACCTGGAGCCAGTGCGTTTCCAGAGGTCTTTTTTGCCACGTACCATCTGGCTATGGAATGAGCTCCTCTCCACGGTGTTTCCCGAGCGCTATGACATGTCCTTCTTCAAACGAGGCTTGTGGAGAGTATTAAACAGTAGGCAGCGGCTTGGCTCTGCCCCTGGCATTGCTGAAGTCCATGGGCGACGGTAACCAATTAACTCACCATCAGGTGGGCCGTATGCTCGTCTGCCTACAAGGGCAATAAAAAAAAAAGAAAAACAGTGGACTGCAAAGGGGGAACCAGCTCAAAAAAAAGAAAAAATATTTTTTCCGTTGGGAAGTGATGATGATTTTTGGGATAGTCATAGAGTTATCTTAATTGATTTCATTAAAAAATGAAAACCATTACAGGAGCGTACTACGCATCAATACTTGACAAATCAAAAACAAAAAAATGGTTACTTGTGCAGAAAAAGAGAAACCTATTTCATCAAGACAATGCGCCGTCTCAGACCTCTGTGGTTACCATAACAAAAATCCACGAATTACACTTTGAACTGCTGACCATCCTTATCTTGACTTTACACACCAAATCTAGCCCCAAGCTACTTCTTTTTGTTTCCCCATCAAAAAATTGCGCTCGGAGGACAGTTTTTTGTTATAATTATGTGGAGACAATTACCTTCATGAATAATTATTTTGTAAAGAAAAACGGCGTATATTGTTTGAACGGGATAGAGATGTGGGAGCATCATTGGATGAAGAATAACAAGGCGAATTGTTGAGGCGAATATATAGAAAAATAAAAAACAAACATAAAAAAAGTCTTGTGTCTGTGTTAGATCGGAAAGTTTTCAGACCCCACCCATAAATAATCTAAACCCATATAATTTGTTAAAAGTGTTCATACATTTATTAGTCTAGAAAAATATGTTTATGAATTTCTAAAGATCATAGAATTAATTTTAACTAATGGACGCAAATTGTAATTGATTTTAGAAAATAGCAGAAGTATTTTGGAAGGAAAAAAAGTACACAGCTGCTCATAGACACTTTTTACACTCATCGGATGGTTCAGCATATGCTAACATGCTTATAGAGCTACACACAACTAAAGGTCTCAAATCAGAAATAGATTTGTTCATAGCACAAGCTGTGTTGCAAATACTTTGTTTGAGAAATGTAAGAATGGCAACTGAAACATTTTTGAGGTATACAGAAACGCATCCCAAAATAAAGAATAGCAAAGGACCTCCATATATATTCCCACTATTGAATTTTTTGTGGTTCTTGCTGAGAGCTGTCGAACAGTAAGTTAATTTTCTTTTTATGTCATCCATAAACATAATCTTGTACAGTGTGCTTAGTGTGAATTTTTTAACGTTCTGGATAGCGTAAAAGCTAACTCAAATTTGTATGGAGGTGGAGCGTTTGCCTACATTTGCCGCTAGGGGCGCTGTTCCAACTGCATACAAATTTGAGTTAACTTTTACGCTATCGAGACGGTAAAAAACTTGCACTAAGCACACTGATACACTGAGATGTAAGATAACTATTTCTGAAAACGCAGATAGTATTCGACAAAATTTATCTACCTATTTAACTGCCTTACCTTTACCTTAGTTGGACTACCTGTGTTCATTAATCATGTTAACATTTTTTGGAAACATAATGTGTTTCTTTAATTGGCTCATGTTTGTGAAAACATCCTCTGTACCCTGTGTCTATTTAAATGCTGTTGAAACATTGTTGATTAAATAAATAAAATAAAATAAAATAGTAGTAATTTTTGACTAAATAGAAATTTAATTATGATTTTGCACAGGAACGTAAAGTAAAAGTAAAAATCATATTATAATGCATGATGTCTATGTTTATGAATGCTGCGGGGGTTTCCACCATCTGCCTTTCCTTCTGATTGCAGGTTTATCACCTAGTATTATGTAAAAAACGATTAGGGGGCGTCCATTAATTAAGTGAGGTGTTCTAGGGGAGATGGGATAATCTCACTTCGGATGGAGGAGGGGGTCTTAGCAAATATCTCACTTTTTAGCAGAAAACGGTGTAAAATTGCCTGAACAATGATTTTTAGAATAAAATATGGCCAAATCAGACACCGTTTTTTTCTACCTGACACAATAGCGTTTCTCGTATTCGTCAGAACCTCACAGAGCAGGAAAGTACCGCTCGATTGTGCGCTGTCGACCTGCTGTATTGACACGTGCGACTCGACGAACGCTATTTAATTTTATGATTGTTATGTTAAATTACGGTAATATTCACAAATGCTAGTCTTTGTTAGTCTTCAATGAAAGTAATAGAACAAGTAGCTGTTTTTTTCTCAATCCTATACATTTACAGCCAAAACATAAGTTTGAAGAATCTCGTGTAAGATTATGGGTGAGGGGAGGGAGTTGAGGAAAATCTTATGAAGTCTCACCAAGGTGGGAGGGAGGGTCGAAAGATTCACAAAAATACCTCACGTGATTAATGGACGTCCCTTTAGTAATATAGGTAGGCTATATAAAATAGTAATAATTTTATATCTATTACATTACAAATTAGCACAATTCAATTCATTTATTTGCAGATAACCTTAAAAATTAAATAATAAATCCAAGAATTCTTTGTTTACGATAGATCTTATAAAATTATATCTTGAAACAAAAAAATGTTTTTATCGTGGTAAACAATTTGCTTGAAGAATTTGATGAATTTCATAATATATTTAGCCAGTCAAAATAGCAAAATACGACTAGAAATATTAAGTATTTTAAGTTAAATAATCAATACAGTTTTTTTTAATATGTATTTAATTTCAGGAGACATGTACGACAGTTTATGGTACTAAAGAATTGGTATGCAATTAGTATTAAAAGGGATCCAAACTACTCCATTTTTTTAGACAATATAGGCCGCATTTGGTTTGGGATAGAAATACCTTCGGAAAATAGAAATCCAAACTCTATGTTCGGAGGTCTAATAAAATCTATTATTGGTGATATAGATAGTTCTGATGATGATGGTGAAAGCAAGACGTCGGCCACAGCTCCTGATTTGGACTAAGCTCTTAATTAACAGATTAATTATATTATTTTTTTACTGACATATCAGCTCAGTCAACCTTTGATAATATATTTTTATTAATTTCTAATATAATTTTGTAATTTCGTAAGAACGCTCTTTTATATTATTTTAAACTTAACTTGGAATTATTACCATTGATTTAAGAAATGGACTGTGTTTGTCATTTTATTTTTAATTAAGATGCCAATTAATTTTAATATTAATGGGGAAATTTCATAATCATTTAAGAATTTTGGTTGAGCTGCAGTAATCATGTTAGGAATAAAAAGTTGTAAAGGGTATGAAAAAAATTAAGTTTTGTGGTGTACCTATGTCAATAGTGCAGTAATGTTTTAGCTACATAATTAAATTTATGGTGAATATAATTACATGTTTAGGATTTCAAATTGTTTTTCATAACGTTGCTTTTTAATTAAGTAATATATTTTGAACAGTGTTGTAAAATTAAATTTTAGATGTTGTTATGAAGTTTTATTCACATTAATTGGAATTATATTTCACAAAGTACCCACATCTCCACAATCGATATAGGTAATGTTTACTCCTGATTACGTGGGTCCGTGAGAGAAGAGGTCTCTTTTCCTAGTGGGTTTCCTTCCCTATCTCTTGCTAGGTGAAGGTAGATTCATAAGGGCCGAGTCACACCGGAATAGCAGCGTCCGGCATCGGCTGGCGGCGATGCCAGCGGCCTCCAGACTGCACGCGCCTAGTCTCCTCTTGACTAGATTAGTTTCTTCATTCGGCAATGATCGTGTAATAAAAATGAAACCCGCAAAATTATAATTTGTGTAAATTACTGGTGGTAGGACCTCTTGTGAGCCCGCGCAGGTAAGTACCACCGCCCTGCCTATTTCTGCCGTGAAGCAGTAATGCGTTTCGGTTTGAAGGGTGGGGCAGCCATTGTAACTATATTTGAGACCTTAGAACTTATATCTCAAGGTGGGTGGCGCATTTAGGTTGTGGATGTCTATGGTCTCCAGTAACCACTTAACACCAGGTGGACTGCGAGCTCGTCCACCCATATAAGCAATAAAAAAAATAAAAAACGTATGTTTAGAGTGAACATGATGGAATTGGTTATTATATATGACCGCGGTGCCGCGAGCGGCCTCGTGTCGCCGCGGGCAGAACCACCGACAAGACGCACGTGGCGGGCGGCTGTGTCGCGACCTTTTCGAGCTTTTCAAGCGATACTGATCTTATAAGTATATATAGATAAAGTTTAAAATTATTCCACACGGAAAGTGCTCGCCGCGACGTTGCAATTCCGGTGTGACTCGGCCCTAACACCGGTTACTCACATGCGCACGAATACGCAAACCCGCAAGTGTAGGACGACATTTGCAAATGATTATGCAAAGTTTTCGCTGCATTCGTGGTTTTCCAAGGTGTGTCGGTTTTTTAACAGACATCAAAGCGCGCGAACCGCGAACCTTCGCGTAGTCGGCCACTGACATGCGCGCAAACATTCGTACAATGAAGGGCCGTCAAACATTCATTCGCAAATCTAGCGGCTGTGCAAATGGGTTCGCATACTCAATTTGCGAACTCGTTTGCGCTTCCTCCTACACTTGTTTACGAATGTCTTACGAATTTCTCCTCCTTTTTAATTCGTCAATAGAACATTGAAGAGAAAAAGAGTTTTGAATTCTTTCCCAGACATCATTAACAGCCATGTTTTTTTTATGGGATTTCTTTTGATGAAGATACGCCACACAGTAGACGTCACGAACTATGAAAATGGCAATACGTCCGTTACCTTCGCAATCGTTGGCGCAACTGGGCAAACGAATGTGTGGGAGACTACGCGAAGGTTCGAGGTTCGCGCGCTTTGATGTCTGTTAAAAAACCGACACAGCTTCGAAAACCACAAATGCAGCGAAAACTTTGCATAATCATTCGCAAATGTCGTCCTACACTTGTGGGTTTGCGTATTCGTGCGCATGTGAGTGACCGGTGTAAGTATGGGTTTCCTTCCCTATCCTTTACTAGGTGAAGATAGTTTCACAAAAGTCGATTGTAGACTTCCATGACTATCTCTGTCTATAATGATAGGTGTGCATCATGTTTGTGTTTGTCGAAGATGGCAACATATATTATTCTTTTAGAGTATTTTCATGCGTTAATTTCCCAGAATATAGCACACATGGTAATTTTCTATCCGATCGTTGGTAGCCTAAGTGCCTATTCCAACTATGCGCGGGTTTTTTTTAGGTGAGTTCATGGGGCTCAACCTGGGAGGACTTGCTAACACTAGCTCTAGCAAGAGTAGTGCTAGTAGTAGTAGTAGTAGTAGTAGTGCTTCACTGAATCTACCTCGCCAAGGTTTCAAACGATCCATGAAATCAAAAACTTTGAAAAAAAAGAGCTGTCTTTTGTATACAGTCAACTGAAAGGTAGGTATTTAGGAGCCGCAACTCAAAGATGGGCGCAGAATTATTTTTCTAGTAACTCTGCTCTATTGCTGACTCAGCGGCTAGATGCTAATATGATATCACTTTCAAATGACTCCAGTAGAGGCGCCGCGAAATGCGAATATCATTACCAATCAAGATGCGTATGTGGTGCATACGGAAACGGCATCCAGCAGCATGGACCGCAGTTGCATCACTACTTTCCCCCATGTAAGGCCTTTAAAACATTTCACAGAATCGACTGAGTAGTTTCTATTACAGTGACTCCAACAGGATGCTAAGATACTGCCAAATACGTCCCAAACCTGATTCATATACTGACAAAAAATATAAAGGTAATTTTCAGGTTATGAAAAAAGTTAAGAAAATTATTTATTTATCAATTAAACAGCAGAACTCATGTGCACAATGGTTTATGGGATAGATCCAAATATAAAACAATTATTTACACCAAGTAAAATGGTTTACATATATACATTGTATATCACAGAAATATGTTTACATCTTGATATTTTTAGTACCCAGTACTAATGCAAAGTGCTAAAAACACTATTTTTAGTATAGGTACCTACATATTTTGCTTCATATAGCAGAGGATTACATCCCACTAGCTGTATTGTCCATCTACATATTTTAGCTTATATTAATTACTTTTAAAAAAAATATTTATAGTATAACCTGGTTGGGTACTCTTACTAAGAAATGAACATTCTAGCTACTTAAATATTTATTATAGGTACTCTATCGACTAATAGTCAAGTAATGACCACCGAATATTCTTTATATTCTCTATTAAACATATTTATTTACACATTCTTAGTCTTTCACCATTGAATAATAGTAACGCCTTTCGATGGAACTGAGATGACCACAATGGTTTTATATGTTAAAATAATTCAATAGCTTAATCAACAAAGCATAGTAAAGCAATTCATTAAAGTTCATGTACCCTACACATTTTGGTTATGTAAAATTTAAATTTGATTGCTGCAAAGGATGACTGGTCCCTTGTTATTATCAATGGTACATTACAATTACAGCTTAGTAAGAGTTTTGCAACAACTCTAGGTACAGGTCTAAGTTACAAAATATATGTAGTCACGGAACAGTTTAATAAGAATTTATCATTTGTCAATGTGGACATTGCAAAATCATGAATGAATATACTTTTACGTATATAATAATTGTGAGCTTCTTGTAAGCTAATATCTTCATTCTGTTTTTAAAAAACCTTATTGAATGTAGAGATCCTAAAATTGGCTGCTTATTTTCACTATTTAAAAATAATTACAATCCTAAGAGGTAAAATTGTTGTTCTCTGGCCTTTTGCTTTTGTTGTCAATATTTATTCTGACGAAATGTATTATTCTTCTGAATCTTCTAAAACTAGATTTGTTATTTCTTTCGACCAGTTTGAAAATTTCAGTGTTTTTGTGTACAGGTTTAGTTTTAGCTTCCTTTCGCGGAGTTCCAGAGCTTGACTCACTATTGAACGGTTAAATTCATGTACATTTGGATGATTAAGATACTCATCAACATCCATCCACTGACAGGCTGCTATTTCAATTTCTGATTTGTTGATAGTATCAGAAATCGCTTTTAGCATAACTACTATGTAAATATCCGAATTTCCAAACATAGAATTGTGACTGTGCCTCAAAGTTACAATTGAATCAAAAGATGCCTCAATTCCAGTTTCCTCCATCACTTCTCTTATAACAGCATCTTTGATGTCTTCACCTAAAACAATACAAAAGTTTTTTTTAACTTTGGTAAAAAAAAAGGATTAGCCTAGTTGAGAGCCTAAAACACAAAGTGAATAATTTTTGACATGGCATATTTTAAGAGGTTTCCCCAGAGTTCTGACCAACTGATAGATTCGGTACCACCACTAGGAAAATGTCTATGTTATGTAGCATTTTTATTATTTTTTTATTATTTTAGTAATTGGAATATGGAATATCGTTGGATTTTCAAAAAGAGCAATTCAACAACAATAATCTACTCTTAAAACAAATATTAAAATTGTATACTTCGGTACGGTATCTCACTAAACAAATTTACAACAAATACCTCAAGATTTAATTTAATAAGTCAGGCCTAAAAAGCTGGATTCAGTATTTAGATTTGTTATTACCTCTTTCAACATAACCTCCTGGTAGTTTCCAATGAACAATATCGGTATGTTGTTCAACCACAACTAGTATTTGGTTTTGGCTATTAAAGACCATACCTCCTACACCAAGATTTGTATGGCATGCTGGTGGCAAATTGGCTTTGCTGTTTGTAGGCAACCATTTGTACATCATAACAAAACTGTCCCTGGAGTGATGGAAATCAAATCCAGCCTGTAAAAAAAGATTACTCTCCTTGTTTCAGAGCTATGTTTAATCTTTTCTAATAATTCAATTCATAAAATTGAACAAGTATTTCATGTATACATTCATGAAAATTAACAATGCTTTTTACTTTGCCCTACGCAATACTTGATGGCCTAAGGGGCTATTTCAATTACACACGGTTTGGTGAGCTCATGAGGCACCTGGTAAGACTTTCCAGACCAGCCCTAGCTAGCGGTGAGCTTTTAACTATTACTTGAAGCCTTAATCAATTTTTTTACAAAGTTTTCTAATTTACTATTTAAGCATCTAATACTTTAGTTAAATAATTATTACCTTGGCAAGTATGGGCACCCAGTCTGCATGTTTTATATTCACTTTAAACCATATGCAGCGCTTATTTTGCTCGGACCATTTTTTTAAAGAGTCTAAAATAGAAACAAAAATTACAGTAAAAATTTAAGCATTCAATAACCAAAATATTCTGTAGGTGTACTTACTATTTAAAATACTAAGAAAATCGTTCTCAGTATATTCTATTTGGGAATCAACTGTAATTCCATTGTATCTATCTCCTGCGCCCTTAAAGATTTCTTCAGTCATTTTAGGTGTTTTTTTCCTGAAATACATTCGCACACACATAAATGTGTGATTCACACATATTATTAAGTGTATAATCTATGATTATTATTTTTTAAAGGGATTTTGTGACCTGGTAACTAAGACTTTTAAGCCGTCTTATTTTAATTTATTTTCATAATTTTATGAAAAATTGTGAAATGGAGTGAAATGAAATCAAATGAAATGAAGATGATTAATTTAAGATATTAATCAATTGGGATTAAATCAAATGAAATGAGAGGAGATGATATGGGATGAAATATAATTTCAGTAAAATGGTGGTCATTTACTGAGATTTTTTCGGTGGACTTTTTGGAGGATCCCGAGAAGTTACGTTCGGCACCTTTGTTTCATTTTCCCATATTTGTACACTTTCATAGATATTAAACAATCGATAGACCACCGTTATTACACATTTAAACATAAAGGAACACTAAATAGACAAAATAAAACAAATCACACAACTTCACTCCTTGCGTTCCCGCCAAAAATCTTGTCTATGGTGTATTGGTTTGAATCAAAAAGTCCACTGAAAAAATTTCAGTAAATGATCACCATTTTACTGAGATTATATTTCATCCCATATCATTTCATTTAATTTTTCACTGGTGGTAGGACCTATTGTGAGTCCGCACGGGTAGGTACCACCGCCCTGCCTATTTCTGCCGTGAAGCAGTAATGCGTTTCGGTTTGAAGGGTGGGGTAGCCGTTGTAACTATACTGAGACCTTAGAACTTATATCTCAAGGTGGGTGGCGCATTTACGTTGTAGATGTCTATGGGCTCCAGTAACCACTTAACACCAGGTGGGCTGTGAGCTCGTCCACCCATATAAGCAATAAAAAATAAAAAAATAAAAAAATTTCATCTTAGTTGATTAATGTCTCAAATTAATCATTTTCATTTCATTTCACTCCATATTATAATTTTTCATAAAAATAAGAATATAAATTTAAATAAGACATGGCCTAAAAGTGTTAGTTACCAGGTCATAAAATCCCTTAAAAAAACAATTTGATTCAATTCAATCAAATTTTATCAAATCTCAGATTTAAAACACAAAAGTCATGTTTCATTTTCGCCAATATTTCTTCAAAAAGAATGCTAAAACTACTGCTATGTTAAGGTACGAAGGATAAATTATCTAAAGTTTATCAGATAAATTAAAAAGCTACAGTAAATTTGTATACTGAAAACGTATAAATTTACGTGGTTTCTGTTTTCGAGCTTACACACACAAAGTTTTTTGTACTGCATGGAATAATAATATACTACACTTCTGTGACCCTTCATAGAATATGATATAAAGTTGATAAGGGAAGTCCAACCGTTGCCTATATTAAAAAAATAGGGTTATAACTATTTTCATTCAATCCTATTCCTTTCTATACCTTTACATAAACATAATTTACATTAATAAATAAACATTTAATAATATTTAATGGAGGATGAAGAGTGTATACATTTAATGTCATTTGAACTTTTACTACTAAGAATTTTTTAATATTTTCTACGCAATCACACTAATGATAGATTTTAATTTATTATTATTATTTTTGATACCTAATTCATAAAAAAGAAATAAATTTTGCTGATCTGGGCCTCTTAATGTACATGTAAAGCTAACACTGGCTCTAAGTTATTTAATTTTAATATGACTTAAAGGAATATGTATGTATATATGGTTGGTTGTATGTATTTATGGTTGGTTGTATGTATTTATATTATCTATTTAGATTGTGTATTTAGTTAGATTGTAATTGGTAGTAAATATTTACAGTTAAAGACACCATTTGCATAGTTGATATTCTTTCCATCACCAATTGTTGGTAAATAAATGCTCTTAATGATAAGACCACCATTTGTGCGGTATTTTAATAATTCACTTCAAAACTATTTTATTTCTTTTTGTGTACAATAAGTGTAAGTAAACAAAACTTGTACTTCTAATACTGAGTCTTCGGCCCCATAAGACAATTTGGTGGCATTCTATTGTAAGGTTTCATAATAGTAGGTGGCTGTGAGGCTTGCCAAATTGAGACAAAAGGGGGTGCTGGTTATTTTTATTCAAAACTAATAATCATCAATAAATCTTAATGGTTATTGAAAATCAACAAAGAATCAATTGTCTTTAGAAATAATTTGTCATGAAAATGAAGTGTAAAAGTTTTTTTTTTTTCAGAAGTTATCTTTGTAAATATTCACATAATACAATACAAGAATCCAAAATGCTTTTCATAGCCACTGAAGACAGATATAATGGCCTTACAATTGAGGACACAGAAAAATCAACAGAAATTGAATTTAACGCTAAGCTAGACTGTAAGTAGACAATATTATGCTGAATGCAAAGAATGATGTTGATTTAGATATCCTGTTTTGGAGGGTTGCTTTTCAGCTTTGCTTCACTTTGCACATTCACACAATATGAACTTTCCAAAATTAAATACATCATCCCATCTAACACTGAGTGGTCACTTGCTTGTGGATATCATCAACGTCCGAGGCACAGCTGAACCTGTTTTGTAATATTATATGTAGCTATATACTATATTGTTGTAATTGAGGAATAGAAATCAAATATGCCTCAGTCACAAAACACCCATAATGAGTGAATTGTGAAATTCAAGTGGTGATGAAATTTACATATTATACAGTAAAAGGTCTTTTCGGTTACAGCTCTTACCGCTCACGGGTCATATCGTCACTGTCAAAACAACATCTGCTATGTGCAAAAACTCTATTTTGAATTAACGAGTAAAACCATTTTTGTATAAAATTTTAATGAAAGTGAATTTTTAAGAACTATTTCAAACGAAAGCTATAGACAAATATTAAAGCTATAGACACATAACAGTTTTTTTTATACGGTAGATAGGGCTGTGAACTACGAAAAGGTCAAAAAGTAAAAATCTCAAAGTGCACATAGCAATGTTTTGACAACGATAATATGTTCCATAAATATGTCGCGAATACAGACACCGTGAATGCGGAATGGTAATTTATGAGGAATTATAAGGGATACATTCGTAGGTGACAAAAAAACGATCAAGCTTTTCTATTTTCTAGCGATTTATTTCGTGTCTAAACTCGTGACTCATTTTTTTAGTGACATTATAAATTAGAAAAAGAGCGGTAGAGACCTGGTACTCGATCACAATTTTTGTAACGAATGTGAAATGTGAAAGACGATTAGAGTTAGGCGAAACAATAAAACACACAAAGCTGCTCTTACAATAGAACGGAGCAGCAACCATTTAAAAACATACTTTATTGCTGTTTGTTTACATTCTCAAGACACCAATCGCGGCGTAGGCGGCTTATGTCAAAGTCCTCGGCGATATCATTTAACGACATACTTTAAGCGAAGTTGTAATAAGATCTATTTTACTTTTTTATTAGTCCATTTCACGGCATATACAAAGGATACTGGATTGGATACCTATTGGAATCCTTTTAGTATTATGTATGTGCTCATTAGATCCGCGAATAAAAAAATATTAGCCGCGAATTGGGTCGCATTTTTTATCCGCGAATAGTGAAATCGCGAATAAGGAGCTTTTACTGTATATATTTTTTTGGACAAGATTTTAATGTCATCATTATCGCATCATTATTAAGAATATAGAATAAACATTCATACCTAAAAACAATAATAAATGAAGAAATGGGACTTGGATATCTGCAAATTAATGTTCGACTGAAGTAATTTACTCCCCTTTAACTAGAAAATTTGTTACAATGTAGCTATTGTCACCCCATATAATCATCTAATGGGTGATCACCCACTGGTCTTGCTCATTTCTATTCTTAATTTTTAGCCCACGACCTCTTGTGAGTCCACACGGATAGGTACCACCACTGTGCCTATTTCTGCCGTTTTAACTGTATACTGAGACCTTAGAACTTATATCTCAAGGTAAGTAGCGGCATTTACGTTGTAGATGTCTATGAGCTACGATAACCACTTAGCATATTAACACTAGGTGGGCTGCGAGCTCGTCCACCCATCTATTTAATAAAAAGTAAATAAAAAAGGTAACTTAAATCTTAAAAATAATACATATATTTCAGATTCCATAAGTAAATGGAAATCAGAAGGCCGAAAATGTTTATGGTTTAAAATAAATATAAAAAATTCCGTTTATGTTCCATTGTTAGCACAAGTAAGTTAATAAAGTAACATTTAATTCAAAGTTAATTGTCAAAGTACCACTGACATATATTTTTAAGTATCGCAGACTATTAAAGAAAAAAATAGTTTGAAATCAGTTTTACCATCTTGACCATTTATGCTGGGAATAAATAATGCATTTCTGTCTGATTTAAAAAAAAAGAACAAGAAACGTATTTCATGAAAGCGTTATTCTTAGAAAGGTTTTAATTTTCATCATGCCAGAGATGACTTTGTGATGATGTACAAATGGTTACCTGATGACTCCGAACCAAATCTACCTCCTGCCTGTCACACAAATTTGGGTGTTGGTGCTTTAGTCTTTAACAGAAAAAACCAGATGTTGGCTATTTCAGAAAAACATTACGAATACCCACATTGGAAATTACCTGGAGGATATGTTGAGAAAGGTAAGAAGAATTATTCAAATTTTTATTTCAAACTTCCGAGTAACATATTACTCCTTTATTTTCCTATAGGTACATAGGATATGGTTTAAGACCGATATTTCCTCGAAAAGTTGGTATTTGTATTCACATTTTGCTATTATAACAATTATTAAAGATCCTGTACACCTTTTTTTTTTTATAACGCCATCTTGTTGTGTCTTTAAAGCAATGAAAATAGTATTATTATTATTCGCCAATAGATGTCGGGAAGAGTCATAAAGTTGATTATTGAAAACACGAATAAAACAACATTTTCTGAAAATAAATCGTACTAGATCGATTTATCGCCCCCGAAATCCCCTGTATACTAAATTTTATGAAAATCGTTGGAGCCGTTTCCGAGATTCAGATTATATATATACGAGAATTGCTCGTTTAAAGGTATAAGATATAGATCTTGTGTTTATTCAGGGGAAGATATTGTAGACGCAGCGATCAGAGAAGTCAAAGAAGAAACTGGTGTAGACGTGTCATTTTTGTCTTTGATTACACTTCGACACTCGCATAATATGATGTACGGAAACTCGGACATTTACTTACTGCTCATGATGAACGCAATCTCAGATGAGATTACTCTATCTCAGAGAGAAGTCAAAGATTGTAAGTGGATGGATATTAAAGAATACACCACTCATCCTCATGTACACGAATTTAACAGGTTGATTGTGAGAAAAGCCCTCGATTACAAAACAAGAAATATAAAACTCGACATACAGAAGCGTACAGTGAAATGGTCACAGTTTGTTAGAGAAATGAATATATTATCCCTCGAGGACTATAATTACCATTGACGTCATCAAGACTTACATCAAGATGTTAACAATTTAAATAAAATAATAATGAATTTTTGGGGCTTCAGAATTTAATTAGAAAAATTTTGTATGGTACCTACACTTAAGTTATAGGTTTGTTACATTTATATTGTGATATATTAGTTAATATAATGGTTATTTATTAGTATAAGCCGTACTGTTTACTTCTGGACAATAAAAGTTTTTTGGCAGGAACAAATGCGGTATCTTCTTCCATGACACCATGAATGACTTAGTCTTTTGTTTTGTTGGGTCAGTATCTTCTTTAGTCTGTAAATAAAATAAAAAACATGTCTTCACTGAGTTAAATCTATACTTTAAATTACAATCTTTATCTTATCGTAAATTCAAACAGTAGTCAATTTTAAGTGGTAATTATTTCTGAATCTTTCAGAATAATTATCACTTAAAATCAATTTCAATTTCCTGTGACATGCTATTTTTCTGCTTTACAATCCGTTAAGTGCGTCCGTGACTTTTTTGTATTGTACTTCCTGAAGCTATCACGAATTGTAAATGCAATCAATGATATTTATTGAAGAAGTTTCAAGAACTTTCAAAAATTGAAGAATATTTTTTGCTGCCATGTAGTTATATAACACCTAATATATAAACCTACGAAAACGTTAGAGGTTCATGAAATTATATTTATAGTGGTTTTTTAATACATAAGGATTATTTTATAAAACTACTAGTGTTCTTGTTCGAATCGATATTTACAAAGTAAAGTGCTTAAGGATATAATATAATGTGTGATAACTTCATATTAAAGGGAGGTCCTAGTTTTAAAGCTTGCCATCTTTAAAAAATATCGGTTAGCAATATTTTAGCCTCCATAGCCTCAAAATGTGAAATGACGCGGTATAATAAAACCCGGTGCATAACATTTTGTCTGTAACGTTAAGTGCTCAAAATTGTTGTTGATTGTAATTGACGTTTTGTATTAATTGGCTAACAAACTTCAAAGACATCTATCAAAATTACAGCTACCCACTTTGGAATATAAGATTAAAGTCGTAACTAGTACGACCGTTTTATCCTTCAAACCGAAATGCATCATGGTAAAAACAAGCAAAATGATGGCACCCATCGGTGCGGTATGCGACCTTTAATTCTTAAAACAAGCATTAGGACAATAGCTCGAAAATGTTGGTATCATATTTATTTTTAATGAGATGTTGTCGGATAATAAGCCGAAACTTCGACTATAAGAATCATTTTAGCACTTCTAATTTCTGCTCTTTAGCCTCGGACACCCTGAGTCTGTAGTAAGCTCTGTCCGGGTGGTTAACACCTACGTGATCCATGCAGAATTTGCAAGATGGGTCAACGTCAAATTCATTTTGTACTGATTTTTTTTATTATTATTTTTTTGATTGAATATTTAATGGTGGCCCGGAGGCCTTTCCAGTTAAACCAGGACAGGTGGCGAGCAAAGCTCAGGAGGGGTGGGATTAGCTAATAGCTGCCCGATTGCCTCCGAATGAGACTTAACAAATCGAGAGCAGCTGCTTCGTGGATGAATCTATGTACTGATGGGCTGATTATAACAACGTTAATTTAATCAATTTGTCGTGATATTTTTGCTCTCCATACTGAGTTTAGTTTTAAAACAATCCTTCACTCATTAAGGACTATCCTTCACTGAATTCGCAAGTATGGTTCAGGGCCTATGCCCCCTCAACCTACTGAGTTTCCCGCTGGATCATCTCAGTGGGTCGTTATTCAGATCCGAAGTACTGCTCTTGTTAGGTCCTGTGTTAGCAATTATCTCAGGTTGTGCCCGTGACCTCATCTCAGCTCAGTTGAGATGATCTCATCTCCTTTCTATGAGCGCACTACTGGTGGTAGGACCTCTTGTGAGTCCGCGCGGGTAGGTGCCGCCACCCCGCCTATTTCTGCCGTGAAGCAGTAATGCGTTTCGGTTTAAGGGTGGGGCAGCCGTTGTAACTATACCTACTTGAGACCTTAGAACTTATATTTCAAGGTGGGTGGCGCATTTACGTTGTAGATGTCTATGGGCTCCATAGTAAACACCAGGTTGGCTGTGAGCTCGTCCACACATCTAAGCAATAAAAAAAAACTGTCGAAGTCGAGTTCATCCCTGCTATTTGGAACCGTAGTGGTTTTCTATAGTAAAAAAATACAGAGGCTCCTTCTGCGCACCGTCGGATTTTCGTTTTCGTAAGATCGGAAACATTGCTCTCAGAAAACGACCGCAGGAGCGTGCACTGGTCTTCCGGCCGTATTTAAGAGAATAAGGCATGTTATGGCAGAACATGATAATAAATTACGCAAAATAAGCAAATATGTATGTAAATAAAAATATGTATATTTTTTTTCTATTAATGCACATATTTTGGGCTCTATCATCTCCAAATTACGCATTCAAAACTTGTGAACAAATAATTCATTCCGCGATAAGATAATTGCACTGATTAACTATCTATTTAAGCGATAATAGTCTATTGGTAATAAGTGTCTGTGATTTTTATAATATACATATATTTGTATTTTATTGTAACTTTATTTTCTTATTCAAATACATATTTAAATGTTTAACTAGTACTTATTAAAAAAAACCTTGCTGATGTTAGAAGTGTCTTTCGTTGTTCAATTTTTCCGGTACATTAAATGACAAAATATGGTAGTTTTAATTTGAAGTTTACAGGATGATATCACAGCAATTTAATGAAAATGCTATGTGGCTTTTTCTGCGTTTTAAATAACATAAACATTTTTATACATCTTGAAAATAATACGGAATAGAAATAGGCTAACAGTAAGTACGATGTGTTCACAATTGTGTTTTTAGTTAATATAAACGGAGGGTTAGTTATCAAATAAAATAATAGCTTTTTGTAGAAACGTGTCTCCCAATATTAAATATACTTAGCTATCCGTATTGCTAAGGCAAATAAAAATTTTAAACTTTACAATGATGTAGGTGTACTGTATTTTAAAAATGAATTTGAACTTTGATGATTTTGAAAGAAACTCAGTACTTACACTATCGTGAAATGAAAGTCAAATCATACTTATTTATAAAGTACTAGCGACCCGCCTTCGCTTCGCTCCGGAAACTGTAATCTATTATTGATTTCTCCACTATTTAATGGATGCTATTATACATATAAACCTTCCTCTTCAATCACTCTATCTATTAAAAAAAACCGCATCAAAATCCATTGCGTAGCTTTAAAGATTTAAGCATACATAGGGACAGACAAACAGGGACAGAGAAAGCAACTTTGCTTTATACTATGTAGTGATGCATATCAAATTAGTTAGGTGTTCATAACTTAATTAATCTAAAGACAGAATGCTGATCGAAAATCTTAAAAATAAATACAGGTATAACACTAATTGAATTTTGTTATCATTCTCGTGTTATCCAGGTACCTAATATTCGTAATATATAATATGTATAATTATAATCTTTCTATTTGTACTTATAACTTCTTAAAATATTCGCAGCCCAAAACAGCAAAGCAAATATGCAATATCTACAATTATTAAAACAACAAAAAAAAAAACGAAACTTGTGACTAACGCCACATTTACAATCAAACAAAAAAATTGATATCAACTGCTTGAGTAACGAAATTCAACCTTAAAACTAAAGACTTATTGTTGCTTTTAACAAAGTACTCACCTTCAAAGCCTTTGTATTTTTCAAAGTGAAATACAATGAAAAACTCAAAAACAGTAGTTTCATAGTTATAGCCACTGAGACAACAATTAAAAATGCATAAGTCATTTTCGTGTCTGTAATATTTATAATTTAAGAATTGAGTTTTAAACTTCTAAACACAATGTTGCGCGGTCTCCCTGTCACATTCCAATAGAAACTGCATGAGAGAGAACAACCTACCTACTTACAACATCTGAACGCTTGTGTTTTTTTTTTATCGAAGTCAACTTCAATGCTGCGCTCATAGACTTATCAATGTATAGATAGGACAAATAGTTTATTATTAAACTTTTATAGGCATTGTAAAGAATGGAGAAGGAAATCATAAATAAAGTAACTAATATTATTTTAATAAATAGCTAGCCGTAGATGTCGAAAAAGTTAATAGTTTTAACTATAAGCAGTAGAAGTAGAAATTGGAGTAAACTGTCCTCCAGTGAGGGCAACTCTTGATGCGTGCCTTAGATTTTTATAGAGCCAGAATGCTCTTTTATTTAAACTTCGAGTCGCCTAAGAAGAAGCTAACGGTAAATCACTACAAATATAAATATTTTAACTAAAGTTAAAAATCAGTTCATATAATATTGTCCAATTATTGCATCAACACAAAAACCTGTGTCATAAAAAAAAACCATTCTAGCATTCGTTTAAGTTTCAGTAATGTCAATTCATTAAAAGAAAAGGTCATCAAATATTTTATTTCTTTTTGTGAGGTTTCCTACTTCAATACTTTTTGATCATGAATTGATCATGAAATCTTTTGTTTCTACTAAACATAATTATATACCTACTCAATTTTTTTTCCGAGATGCTATTAAAAAAAATTATGCCAAATCTGCAACACATATTTAACTAAACAAATAAAATAAGCTTAGGACACTCGATTAGTCCATATACATTACAATCTGGTGTGATATTTAAATTTCATTTATTTTGTACATATCTGTGTTCTTCATAGGAATGTGACTTTCACTTAACTCGATAGGTAGTGTCGAATTGTGTTGATTCATGCTGCCGTACGAGTGGGGCTCAAACAATTTTCAATGAATGTTTTGTCTTGATGTCATTGAAGAAGAGTAAACACGGGGCACCTGTTTGAAAATGGCCACTGGCGCTCATGGATGTCGGTAATACCAGGGTCCGTTACCTACCACAAAAATCTTAAGCCTCGTTTGAACAAAGGCATGTGATGCAACATTGAGCGGAAAATATCCAGGATAGAAATTCATTCTAAAACTTATGATTTTGAGTCAATATGATTGCACTGATTGCTGAGTAAACGCACATGCAAGTTGAATCTAA